TACGAATTTTATTTTAGCCATTAAAAAGATGGAACTCTTGCCATTTGCGATAACATGGATGGACCTTGAGGGTATTATGCTAAGTGAGGTAAGTCAGAGAAAGACTATTATATGATCTCACTTATATGTGGAATCTAAAAAAATTAAAAAGGAGCTCATGGACACAGAGAACAGATTGATGGTTGCCAGAGATGGGAGGTGGGGGGTAGCAAATGGTTGAAAGGATTCAAAAGGTACAAACATCCAGTTATTACATAAATAAGTCATGGTGACTATAGATAATACTGTATTGCATATTTGAGAGTTGCTGAAAGAGTAAATCTTGGGACACCTGGGTGGCTCAGTTGGTTAATCGGTTAAGTGTCTGCCTTTCTGCTCAGGTCATGATCCCGGGGGTCCTAGGATCAGGCCCCACATAGCACCGGCTCCCTCTCCCCCTCCCCCTGCTTGTGCTGTCTCAAATAAATAAATAAAATCTTTAAAATAAAAGAGTAAATCTTAAAAGTTCTCATCACACACACACACACACACACACAAATCTTTGTAACTGGATGTTAACTAGACTTATTGTGGTGATCCTCTCACAATACAAATATTGAATCATTATGTTGTGGGCATGCTAGAAAGGGGAATGGGGCCAGACAGATACCTTTGAAAAGGCATGAAATACTGCAGTGAGGGAGCTCAAGTTAACCAAACAGTACTTGGACACTGCAAAATGGTTAGAAGAGAACTTGCATCCTAAGGAGGGAAGGCATTTTTTTAAAACATTTATTTTTTTTTTAAGATTTTATCTATTTATTTGACAGACACAAGAGAGGGAACACAAGCAGGGGGAGTGGCAGAGGGAGAAGCAGGCCCCCTGCTGAGCAGGGAGCCCGATGCGGGGCTCATCCCAGGACCCTGGGATCAGGGCCCAAGCTGAAGGCAGACGCCTAACGACTGAGCCACCCAGGCGCCCCGAGGGAAGGCATTTTTAAAAGGCCCTAGAGACCAGGAATGGCAGAAACTTGCAGCCTAGGAACCAGAAAAGCTTTGAGGAGGGTTTGCCGCAGGCTGGGACAGGAAAGAAAGAAACTTCCAAAAAGAAGCCACGGGACTTGGGAACCAGGTGTGTGCAGGGAGGGATTGCAAAAAGCAAAGACAAAGCTGATACAGACTTTGGCCCATGGCTTGGAGCACCAGAAATAAGGATGATTTTCTATGAGAGCTGTGGAAGGCTCAGTGGCGCTGAGGTAATGATGGTGCTTTCCGCAGGCAACAGGAGGTGGGGGCGGGAGGTGGAGGGCCAGAGGTGAGCAGCGTCCAGGTGCGGGGTGAAGGGGAGTAAGGGCCAGACCAGGTGCCAGGAGAGAAGAGTGCCGTGCCCTCAGTTAGGGCAGAGGGGGCTGAGGGCAGCAGCCCAGGTACTTGAGAGCCGAGAGCCAGCCAGCTTTCGGGAAGACCCAGGGAAGTCTTTGATGGCTACCAGGGGTGAGTGGTTCCTGAAGGAGAGCCTGTGCCGAATGTCATTATCTTACTTCTTCCCTAGATCCTTGCACAAGGAGCTCTAGAAAGTACGTGCTCAGTAAATATTTATTAAGTGTTTTAAAAGCATTAATCAGGGGCGCCTGGGTGGCTCGTTCAGTTAAGCGTCTACCTTCAGCTCAGGTCATGATCTCAGGATACTGGGATTGAGCCCCACTTCGGGCTCCAGGCTTAATGGGGAGTCTCTTCCTCTCCCTCTGTACCTCCCCCTTCCCTGCTCCCCTCTCTCATGCTGTGCACGCTCTCTCAAATAAAATCTTTTTTTTTAAAGATTTTATTTATTTATTGAGAGAGAGAATGAAATAGAGAGAGAGAGCATGAGACGGGGGGAGGGTCCGAGGGAGAAGCAGGCTCACTGCTGAGCAGGGAGCCCGATGCAGGACTCGATCCCGGGACTCCAGGATCATGACCTGAGCCGAAGGCAGTCGCTTAACCAACTGAGCCACCCAGGCACCCTCAAATAAAATCTTTTTTAAAAATTACAAATAAAAATAAAAAGCATTAATCAGCAATTGCCCTCCCACCCACTTTGAGGCAAGTATGTTGCCAATAACGAAAATAAGGGGAGCCTTTGAGGGTGAGGAGAGAGATGGGATAGAGATTAGTTTATCAGAGAAACTGCTTTTTGATGGGCTGTAACCAGGTTGCATGCTCAAGCCCCTTCAGCCCTAACTGAAAGCAAACCTTTCTCTCCGGGCAAAGCTTTAGAAATTTTGAAAAGCATCCTTGCTTTATTTTTATTCAATGTAAGTCTTTCTCCCTTGACTGCTGCTACTGAGCCTGTAAAAAGAGATTTTGGGGGGGGAGTTTGGGGGGCTTTGTTGTATTTGTTTTGTCAATTGCAGCAACTTGCCAGAAGTGAAACTTTCAGGAGGAAGAGTAAAGAAAACTCGCCTCTTTTCTCCACCCAATTTTGTGTCCATGGAAAACATGATGCAGGAACATTGAGAGTAATGCTGTGGGATGAATAACATAGAAGTAGTGATGGAGAACACAGGAGGGGCCACGGGAGGGAAGCTGCATCATGGACCGCTTCCTGTGGCTCCCACTGTGAGGATGTAGGGAATGCGGGTAATAAAGGGAGCACGGAAAGACATTTGTAGAAGGTGAGCTCAGACATGCAAGACAGGAAACAGGAGGAAGTGAGTAAAACAGAAAAGAGTAAAGTGGTTTATTTGGTTGAAGTGGAGAAGCTCTGCTTGGGAAGAAAGTGGGGGTGGAAAGGAGACCAGGAAAGGGGACTTCGGCTGGAGCCTTTTGAAGAGTCGGCCTTAGTTTGGGTTGCCCTGGCAATGGAGCCTGAGACAGGATATGGGTCCGGTGGTTATTCCAGAAGGGATCCCCGGAAGTAGAGTGAGGGAGCAGGAAACGTGAGAGAGGGAAGGGGGCAGCCACCATTAGGGTGTAATGGTGCCTCTGGAGAAGGTGCTCAATGCTTCCCTCACCCCCAGAATTCACAACCTGGAGGTCTGGGGGAGGGGAGAGCTGGAGTATTTTCCCAGAATTCCAGCAAGGACTGCCCCTGGGGGCTACACTCCCCACCCCAGCTCCCTGGGGCAAAAGCGCTCCCTCCAGGGGGGCAACTGACAGCCCTCAGTGACACTGGGTTTGCAAGGAACTGTCCCTGTAGCAACAGCTCTCACAGTGCATGTGGGTCCTCAGGCCCTGCCTCCTACAGCTATGGCAGCCAGCCGGCATCTTCTCTTGGTACTACCCCCACTGCGTCACCCCCAAGCTGTTTCATGATGGAGTGACTGCCCTGGAACCCTAGAGGTCAAACGTCTAGCAAGTTCCACCAGCCTGGAACCACAGCGACTTCTCTGCCATCCAGTGAGACCGCGCTGTGCCCTCCCCAGCAAGGCCTGGCTCTGAGCCAGAGCAGAAGGGAGGCTATCTCATTTCTAGACCGTCCACCCTTTCTACATGAGGCTAAGAATCTCTGCCTCAAACTATTCACTTGTCCAGGTGTTCACTCTTGTAGGTGCTAGAAGAAGATACTTAATATACCAAACAATTAAGTTTCTGTTTGAAGTTCTAGAGTCCGGTGGGCTGGCAAACTTGCGAGGTCTTCCTTCGGCCTACCAGAAAAAACTCTAACCCCTTGGCAAGGTGTGGAAAACCGTGCATGCTCTGGCCCGGATTGCCAGAGAACTCAACAAGGGGGCCATGCCCTTGCCCACCTCACCCCTACACTCTGGGCCTGCTCTCAAGTCTCCTTTACCTAGAATGCCCTTCCCTCTGGCTCTTTATCTTTTAAGGTTTAGCTTAAGTCCTTCCTCCTCTGTCCACCCACGTTGCCTTGCAGAGTTTTATCATAGCACCTATTTACTTATAACTCAGTTCCCCCACACATGGTGAGCTCCTTAACTGCAAGGAGAAGGCCAGTTCCCTCACTGAGTTTCCATCCACTAGCACATAGCAGGTGTTCCAGTAAATGTTTGATGAATGAATAAACAAACACATGCTAGTCCCTTCGCACCCTAGCCATCAGGAAATGCCACTGAAAACAGGTTCTGAGTTCATCATTTTGTGGCCAGACCAGGGCATAGATAGCCCAGCCCATCTGATTCTAACAAAACTTGCCCTGTGGACTTGGACTAGTAATTTAATAATCCCGTGGCCTGGATCCCAGGGTCTCTAAAGGGAGGTGATATTCATGAACCCCACAGGGAAGAGGTGGAGTCTAATTACTATTTAAAGATCCTAAATAGCCTTTGGAAAAACAAATGTGTTTGTGTATAGTGTGGAGGAAGGTAATGAAGCTGAGTATGCCATTAACACATTCTTATTCTGGGGGAGACAGGAAGATAAAGATACCGTCACTTTATTTTTTTATTCATTTTAAAGGTAGGATGTCCCTATCATATAGGTGAAAATGTTGAAAAAGGAGGAGAAAAAAAAATGAAATATGGTTGAGTTGGTTCCACACTGCCCTTTCAGGATTTCCTCTAAGGGGACCACAAATTTTTCCCACAGGTGTCTCAATGTGCACAATAAAAAAAAAAAAAAAATCAAGAGAGAATAAATAGCAACATTAGAGGGATCCAGCATAGTCAAAAGAATTTTATGTGCATTTTGTGGCTCCATTGGCCCCAAGCAGGGCTGAACTTTCTAGAAGCTAGTCATGCCTGTCTGGAGTAGGAAAGGTAGAACTCATCAGGGATCAGCTGAGGGAGGAGCTATTAGACACAGGACAAGTTCACAGTCCCTGTCTCCTCGGTCATTCGGACACCACTGATATGAATTCAATGAAGACGCATTTGTTAAATATTATCCCCAGAGTGGCCCTGGCTGGGTCGAAACAACTCTAGTATATAAAAGCCTTGCCTTTTCACCACACTTTGGCCAAAGTCAGGATAGCTCAAATTTCAAGATAAAAAACAAAACTTAAAAAAAAAATTCTTTTTTTTAACTTTGACTCTGTGGGCCACCAATTCTCTCTAGCAAATTAATGAACCATTTGTGGGGGTTGGATTACTTGATCATAGGTCATTTAAGCTGTCCTGCGGGCCACATTCTCAGACCAACTGGGCAACAGATAAGACCTGAAACACCAGATGACCTGTTTTTAAATGCTGCATTTTTGTTCATTTAGGATTGCCAAAGCTCTCAAACAAGGGAGTTCTCCTTCCAGAATGCATCTTTCTGAAAGAAAAAGTATCAAGGGATTAATTGGTAGCTAGTTCTGAAATAACAAAAACTAGAATTTAGTTTATCTTGCAAAAGTCGTTACGATTTATTTTCCTAGAACTTAGGTGTAAGGAGTTAGCATAGGGCTTGTGAGATGGTCTACTACAGAGCAGGCTGAAGTCCACAGGCTGGTGATTCCCTCTGTCTACAGTCCTGTGGTCAAGGAGACAGTGATTGTAGCAGGAACTTGGATTTCTGGGGCAGTCTGAGGAACTTCATGTTTCACATTTAAATGTCAGAACCACCTGGTGAGGTAGATGTTCTTATCCCCATTTTACAGATGAGGGAGTTGAGGCTTAGAAAAGTCACACAACTTGCCCAAGACCAGCTCCTTAATGAATATGTGAAGGAGCAATCTCTACGGCTCCTGGGTCTGTCAGAACGAGAGCTTTGTTGGAGAATCCCAGGCCGTCAGACTGGAAGGCATTTAGGGAGATTCATCCCAAGCCTTCCTTCCCTCCTTTCAGAACAGGGTTGGTCTTCGCCTCTCCAGCACCCTGCACGAAACCAAGGGGCCCTTAGCGCCTGGGTGGCCACGAGGAGTTTCCAGATGGGTGGTTTGGGGGCAGTTTTCCCCTGTGTGCTTGCTTGCTTGTATTCATTCATTCATTCATTCGTTCATTCATTCATTAACGATTGTATTTATTTATTTCAGAGAGAGAAAGAGAGATGGAGAGCGCAAGCATGAGTGGTGGGGAGGGGCAGAGGGAGAAGCAGACTCCTTGCTGAGCAGAGAGCCTGATGTGAGGACCCTGGGATCATGACCTGAGCTGAAGGCGGACACTGAAATGATTGAACCACCCAGGCGCTGGGTCCCCCACTGTCCCCTTGCCCAATGTGCTTTAGTCTCACACCCGAGGCTCAGAGGGGACCACGTGCCCACAGAACCCAGCCTGGAGCTGTCCTTCCATGCCTGATACCTCAGTCCCTCCCAGCCCTGAGACCCTTCTGTGAAATATAAGGACACGCATATTGATGTCCATAGGCCTTTCCCTCACCATATGATTTCCAGATTTTGAGCCAACACAATGAAGATGACTTTTAAGCTTTGGATGCGGGCTCAGAAAGAAGGAAAAGGGGCAGCAGAGGTTTGTGTATAAGTCAGCCTTAAGTAGCTCTGCCCGCAGGAGAGGCCAGGCAAGAGCTGAGCTGGGCATCAGGGGCCAGCACAGCCAGGGTGGAGAGTCCCTACATTGGCGGGGACAAGAGTCACCCTGGGCCTCTCACTCAGGGCCAAAGCTTCTCTTCCTCTGAGGCCTCCAGTCCACGCTGTCTCTGAAACTACGGGGACCTGGCCAGTGGCTCCAAATCGAACATGGCATTAAATGTTTAGATAAAAGACTAGGCACTCAAAAATGCCTCTTAGGCTATCATTGGCAGCAAAGCAGAATTTACATCTGGCTCACGGCAGTGGGATCGAGACCACCATGAACCATCTGAAGTGGACAGGACATGATAAAGGAAATTTAGGCATCACTATTGCCAGTGTGAGGTCTAACATGATTGATGTATTTTAATGCGAACAGAATAATTATATTTAAGGATACTCAAAGATGTACCCTTACATAGTTCCTTTACTATAGGGCTATGTGGTCTTCTGCGGTACCTGGGCACTTTGGCATAGTGGGTCCCTTCTTCCAAAAAAATATTAAAAATTATATTTTACAATGGGGCACCTGGATGGCTCAGTTGGTTAAGCATCTGCCTTCAGCTCAGGTCATGATCCCAGGGTCCTGAGATCGAGCCCCGCATCGAGCTCCCTGCTCGGCGGGAAGCCTGCTTCTCCCTCTGCCACTCCCCCTGCTTGTGTTCCTGCTCTTGCTGTGTCTCTCTCTGTCCAATAAATAAATAAAATCTTTTTAAAAATGATATTTTACAGATGCATTGGTATAAAGTATGTTAATATTATATAGTAAAACATGTTCTTCCACCTAAATGTTCATTTTTCCCCCTCTAATTTTAAAAGAAATTAAGTATTTTTGTGGATTTCTGAAAGTATTATGAGCCTGAGCAGTGTACATGCTGTGTCTAAGGGGAATGAGTCGGCCCTGTTTATATACAGAGGGTTTCCGCCCTACAGTGACTACGTGGGGAACTTTAAAAATTAACTTTGTTTGGAGCTCCATCCCTGGAGCAATTAAATCAAAGTCTCTAGGGGGGACCTAGGCACCCAATTTTGGCATTTTTAAAAGTTCTAATAATATTTGCTTTGTAAGGACCTTATGTTTCTCAAAAGCAAATTCTCTTATTTTTTTTTCTTTTTTTAAAGATTTTATTTATTTATTTGACACAGAGAGAGAGAGAACACAAGCAGGGGGAACAGTATTGGGAAAAGCAGGACCTAGCTGAGCAGCAAGCCCAATATGGGGCTTGATCCCAGGACCCCCGAATCATGACCTGAGCTGAAGGCAGATGCTTAACCAACTGAGCCACTCAGGTGCCCCAACTTACTGGGTTGTTTTTTTTTCCTAAAAAAATTGTTAAGAGACTATCCTTTGAGGCTAGAGAGGGACTGCTCTTCTGCAGATCAATTTCCCCAGTAGAGAGCCTGACTATATATATTTTTTTTTTCTTAAAGATTTTATTTATTTATTTGACAGAGAGACACCGCGAGAGAGGGAACACAAGCAGGGGGAGTGGCAGAGGGAGAAGCAGGCTTCCCGCGGAGCAGGGAGTCGATGCGGGGCTCGATCCCAGGACCCTGGGATCATGACCCGAGCCAAAGGCAGACGCCCAACGACTGAGCCACCCAGGTGCCCCTATATTTTATTTCTATCAGACAAAATCTACTTCTCTACATCACAGTGGGACAATGTTTTTGAGATATCAGTGAAAAAAATCCCTTTCCTTTCTGCCCTCTGTAGCTGTCCTTCCCCTTTTTAAGCCCCCGTTGTTTGGCTGTTTGGCTTGAGGGTGGGATGTGACAGGGTGGGAGGCAGACAAGAAAGGAGTTCAGAGTGGTAGTTTTTCAAAGACCTTTGAACTTGGAGGTCTCCAGGCCTAGGCTAAAAGTTTGGGAAATGTGAGGCATAGCCGTGGGATTTGCTCTGGAGGAATAGAAAATATTATTCTAGACTAGAGGAGAAGAGACTGAGGGCAGAGGGGGGTGGGTGGATGTGAAGAACCATTGAAACAAATGAGAAAAAAATAGATGTAAGGGGCACTGCCAGGGGACTGAGGAGTACTTTGGGAGCCGCCACGTTGGCTTGCAGATATACCAGCTGCCGCTCCCTGGGCAAGACTTCCTTTACGCCACAGTCAGCCCTTTGCCTGGTGACTGCCAGGAGGGGATGCCCACTCATGCCGGAGATTTTGCATAATCCCCTTCTAATCCTGGACGCTCTGTTCCTACCTTATACTATTCTAGAACATTCTTTTTTTTTTTAAGATTTTATTTATTTATTTGAGAGAGAGAGAATGAGAGATAGAAAACACGAGAGGGAAGAGGTTCAGAGGGAGCAGCAGACTCCCTGCTGAGCAGGGAGCCCGATGTGGGACTCAATCCTGGGACTCCAGGATCATGACCTGAGCCGAAGGCAGTCGCTTAACCAACTGAGCCACCCAGGTACCCTATTCTAGAACATTCTTAAGCTCCAAGAAGGAGGATAGAGTTCCGGATACCATGCTCTCATAAGATGGCCTGGCATATTCTCACGGGATTACGACATTTTTAAGAAAATACAGAAGAAGTGAAAGATAACTACCACAAACATAGTTCAGTTAATGTTTCACTGCCTTAAAACTTACACTTAATACCAGAAAAAGGTCTATCCAGTCAGTGGTAAAATTCAGACATCTCAGAATTAGTGGATATAACAAAAGTTGAAAACATTTTAGGAAGGAAAATACCTACATTTGATATTAAGGGAGACAGCTAAGAAGTATGATACTAAGGGACATTAAAAAACAAACAAACAAAACAATAATATAACGTAACAAACTGAATTTGGCCAGAACATTCTCCGATAAGGGAGCTCTTAGGATGACACACACCATCTATCTTAATTATATACCTGTCCAAAAGATAGAATACAACAGGAAGAATGAAGTTTTAATGAGCTTGGAGGGCTATAAAATGGTTGCCTTGTTATAAACTCTGGTTGTTATATACCAGCAAGGACAAGTATTTGTTTTCTATTTTAAATTCTGTTTTCACAAAGCAAGGAATTTGCAAGGATTTGCAAGGAATGATAAAGTAGAAAGAGATTTTTCAAAGCGGTTCACTTTACTACTTCTAAAATGTAGCCCCTAAGAGTGTCCATGTCTCTCTGTCTATCTTTCTTTCTTTAGCTGTTCTGTTTGAACGAAAGGTACTTAATAAAATTGATAGTTTTCAAAACATTGTGTTTCGGTGAAAATTTTCTGGAGATGGATGGTGATAGTTTTGCAGCAGTGTTATGTACTTTAAGCCACTAAACTACACACTTAAAATGGTGTACATGGGGATTTTTATGTTTGTAGATTTCACCACAATTTAAATAATAATAATAATGAGCCCCTGAGTCCAGATTGCGGGGGGGAAAAATACAAAAACATTGTGATTGTGGTTTTGCTTGTCTGCATACGTGTGTATACTTATATATGACAAAAGGAAGAGAGGAGATGATTTACATTTATTTTAAAAATTTTCTGGTTACTTGTGTCTAGCTGATGAAAATATAAAATATGAGCATCGGTACATGTCTAGGATGTTGTGGACTAGTGATGGCATCTAGTAAATGGAGGAAATTTGAGTCTGGGTCTTACTTTATGAAATATTATAATTACACACTAATTAGTTTATGATAAAAAAATCACAACATCACTTTTAACATTTAGCGTCTTATTCAAGCCCATATAGCCATGCTTTCTTCCAGTCTTAGTCCTGCTCCTTACCATGCCAAGCACCCACAGGCTGAGAAAAAAATCCACACAAACAACAAACTCCTCTTCTGAAATCTCCAAAAGATACCAAC